TGTACTGTCGGGTACGGTTCTGAACTGTACTGTACTGAATGTACGTACTGTAATGACTTTTTACTTTTACGTACTTTTCTGTTGCCTGAAAAGTACTGTAAGTACTGTACTGTACTGTACTGTACTGTAAGGTACTGCTGTACTTTTACTTTTATTTTAACTGTACGGGCCACATTAATGTACTGACTGTACTGTACTGAAATTTTACTGTACTGTACTGAAACTGTACTTTACTGGTACTGTACGACTGTATTTGTACTGTACTTACTGCCCGCACTGTACGTATTTGTACTGAAATCCCACTTTTGTACTGTACTCTACTTTACTGAATTTTGTCTGTAATTTTAACTGAATTTACTGAAACAAAAACGTACTGTACTGTACGTACTGCACTGTATGCACTTTTACTTTTACTGTACTGAACTTTTATTTGTACTGCAAGTACGCACTGTACTGTACTGTACTGTACTTTTTACTGTACTGTACTGCACTGTACTGCACTGTACTGAACTGATTTGAAACTTTACTGTACTGAAATTTGTACTGCCTGTACTGTCCTGAAACTTACTTTTACTGCAGTGTATTTGCATTTGTACTTTTCCCTGACTGAAAATTGTACTGTACTGTATTTGCACTTACTGTACTGCACTGCACTTTTACTTTACTGAAACCTGTACTGTCGCAATGTATTTTCATGTACTGTCTGTACTGTCCCTGTCCCTTGTACTGTACTGAACTGTACGTACTGCAATGACTGCACTGTACGTGCTGTACTGTACTGTACTGAAATGCAATGTACTGCACTGTTTTGGGTACTGTACGGTACGCCTTTACGTACTGCACTGTACTGTACTGTACTGTACTGTATTGTACTGTACTGTACTTTTTTGTACTGTACTGTATTGTACTGTACTTTTACTGTATTGTATCACTTTTCCGTACTGAAACTGTACTGTATTGAAAACTGTATGTACTGTACTGTATTGTACTGTACTGACTGTACTGTACGGTAAAGGGCCCCACGGAAAATTATATGTCACTTAAAACCCAATGTTAATTCATTTGTACCACAACAACTGTTGTACCTTCACTTTCAGTTGTACCACAAACTTTTTGGGTCCCTTTCACTTTCAGTTGTACCAAAACCCGCGTTGAAACCTTAAATTTCAGTGAAAACCCAAACACTGTTGTACCTTCATTTTCATTTTTTACCCCCAACAGCTGTTGTACCTTCACTTTCGTTTTTCCACAAAAAAGCTGTTGTCCCTTCACTTTCAGTTGAAACCAAAAACAGGGTTGTACCTTCATTTTCAGTTGTACCAAAAACAGCTGTTGTCCCTTTCACTTTCATTTTGAAACCCCCAACGGGGTGTTGTACCTTCACTTTCAGTTTTTTCCCCAAAAACTCTGTTGTCCCCTTCATTTTCAGTTTACCACAAAGGTGTTTTTCCTTCATTTTTAAATTTTAACCCCCAAAAAACTTTTGTACCTTCACTTTATTTTGGTACCAAAACAGCTTTTAAAAACCTTCCTTTCATTTTGTACCACAAAGCTTTTAAAAACCTTCATTTTTCATTTTTTACCCAACAGCTGTTGAAACCTTCATTTTTCAGTTGTACCAAAAACAGCTGTTGTACCTTCATTTTTATTTGTACCACAACAGGTGTTGTACCTTAAACTGCAGTTGTCCACAACAGCTTTTGTACCTTAAATTTTTTAGTTTTTTCCCAAACAACGCTGTTGTACCTTCATTTTTCAGTTGTACCACAGGCTGTTGTCCCTTTCATTTCATTGTACCACAAAAAGCTTTTGTACTTCACTTTCATTTTTTCCCACAACAGCTGTTGAACTTCCTTTCAGTTGTACCAAACGGGTTTGTACCTTTACTTTCAGTTTACCCCAACAGGTGTTGTCCTTCCTTTTAGTTTTTACCACAACAGGTGTTGTACCTTCACTTTCAGTTTTTACCAAAAACGGGTTTTTTGTCCCTTCATGTCATTTTGAAACCACAACGGCTTTTGTACCTTCACTTTCAGTTGTACCACAAACGCTTTTGTCCCTTTCCCTTTTTTAATTTTGTACCACAACAGGTTTTTTTCCCTTCACTTTTTGATACCAAAAGGTTTTGTCCCTTTTAAATTTTTAAAGTTGAAACCACAACGGGTTTGTTGTACCTTCATTTTTTAGTTTTTACCACAAAAAGGTTTTGTACCTTCACTTTCATTTTACCAAAAAACAGGTTTTGTCCCTTTTACTTTCGTTTTTACCACAACAGGTGTTTGTCCCTTTTCCACTGTCAGTTGTACCACAACAGGTGTTGTATCTTTATTTTCTTTTTGTACCACAACAGGGTTGTCCCTTTTAACTGTCAGTTGTACCACAACAGGTGTTGTACCTTCACTTTCAGTTGTACCACAACAGGTGTTGTACCTTCACTGTCAGTTGTACCACAACAGGTGTTGTACCTTCACTGTCAGTTGTACCACAACAGGTGTTGTACCTTTACTTTCAGTTGTACCACAACAGGTGTTGTACCTTCACTGTCAGTTGTACCACAACAGCTGTTGTACCTTCACTTTCAGTTGTACCACAACAGGTGTTGTACCTTTACTTTCAGTTGTACCACAACAGGTGTTGTACCTTCACTGTCAGTTGTACCACAACAGGTGTTGTACCTTCACTGTCAGTTGTACCACAACAGGTGTTGTATCTTTACTTTCAGTTGTACCACAACAGGTGTTGTACCTTCACTGTCAGTTGTACCACAACAGGTGTTGTACCTTCACTGTCAGTTGTACCACAACAGGTGTTGTACCTTCACTTTCAGTTGTACCACAACAGGTGTTGTACCTTCACTGTCAGTTGTACCACAACAGGTGTTGTATCTTTACTTTCAGTTGTACCACAACAGGGGTTGTACCTTTACTTTCAGTTGTACCACAACAGGTGTTGTACCTTCACTTTCAGTTGTACCACAACAGGTGGTTGTAACCTTCACTTTTAGTTTGTAACCACAACAGGTGTTGTACCTTCACTTTTAGTTGTACCACAACAGCTGTTGTACATTCACTTACCCCAATAACTTATTTATTATATATAATAATTTTTTTTACGATTCTTTATGTTCTTAGTCGTCAACAATACATAGAATGGAGGGGGAGGGGTAGGGAAATGGGGAGGGGAGGGGGAGGGGGGGAGGGGTGTGGTTTGGGGAGTGAGGAGGTAGAGTAGTGTGGGGGGGGGAGGACTGGAGTAAGACGGTGTTTTGGGGTTGATTTTGGTTTATGGGGTGGTGGTAGAAGGTTAGGTTAGGTTAGCTTAGGTTAGGTTAGGTTTGGTTAGGTAGGGGTAGTTAGGTTAGGTTATGTTTGGTTAGGTAGGGGTAGTTACCCCCCCCAACATTTCTGTGTCAGTGTATAAGGTCCCTCACAACAAACAGTTTGGTTGTTCAACTCGTGTAGCTGCGTCAATTTCTGAACTATTTAAGCAGCGGGTGATATACAGGAGGTGTAAATCGTTGGAAGCAATACGCTCGCTATACAGTGCCACTCAGCCTGTGACATTCAGCAGTGCCACCCACCAGTGCCACTCAGTAGTGCCACTCGGTAGTGCTGCTCATCAGTGCCACTCAGCAATGCCACTCACCAGTGCCACTCAGTAGTGCCACTCAGTAGTGCCATTCACCAGTGCCACTCAGTAGTGCCCCTCAGCAGTACCACTCAGCAGTGCCACTCAGCAGTGCCACGTAGCAGTACCGGAAGGTAGGTGCAATAACTTCACGGGAAAGCACTAAGGACACGACGGGGAATGAGAAATAATTAGGTTTGGGCCGAGGAAGGTGCAGGTAGCTCCAATTCCGTGGTTCAAAGCTCTTCATCGGCACGAAGGCAACCCCTCCCCCTTCCCCTGTGAAGGGAGATGAGGAATAAGGTATATAAGACCCGCGTGTGTGAGGCAGGTGCTGCTAGTCATCACATCAACACCAGCCAGCACGGACCTACTTCCACTTCGCCAGACGAGCCAAGAAGAGCGTCCACTTCGCCAGTTACGAGCCAAGAAGAACTTCCACTTCGCCAGACACGAGCCAAGAAGAACTTTACCTCGCCAGACACGAGCCAAGAAGAACTTTACCTCGCCAGACACGAGCCGAGAAGAACTTCCACTTCGCCAGACACGAGCCACCAAGAATTTCCACTTAGAAAGGCCCACCTCTCACACTAGCCAAGGAGCTCCAAGAGCCGACCTACTTGTGCAGGTGCTCCGAGGATCCGCAAAAACCGATGCTCCGGTGGTCCAGTAACCCAACCACAGCAGCAAGTGTACTACCAGTCTCAACACAGGAGGGTCAGGAGTAAATGCCTTAACAGGAGACCAAGAAGTAATTGATGCAACACATGAGACCAAGAAGTAATTAATGCAACACAGGAGATCAAGAAGTAATTAATGCTACACAGGAGACCAAGAAGTAACTGATGCAACATAGGAGACCAAGAAGTAACTGATGCAGCACAGGAGACCAAGAAGTAACTAATGCAACACAGGAGACCAAGAAGTAATTAATGCAGAACAGGACGCCAAGAAGTAATTAATGCAACACAGGAGACCAAGAAGTAATTAATACAACACAGGAGACCAAGAAGTAATTAATACAACACAGGAGACCAAGAGGTAACTGTCACAGTACAAAAAAACAGTAACACGTAAAACACAGGAAACCGAGAAATAATTTACAGAAAAACAAAGAAGACTAAGAAATACTTGATGCAACATATTAAACGTTAATATACAAAACACACAGACGGCCAAGAAGCAATTTACACAACAAAGGAGACTAAGAACGTAAATAAAACGAAAGACTAAGAGCATAACCTCAGAGGAAGATACGACTGAAACGCGTTACTCGACATGTTGTGTGAGTCAGCGGTGGCTGAGGCAACACCGAACTGAGGTGAACACGCGATCTCAAGGTCCTAACGACGCTGCTTCTGAAGATGCTGACGATGGTGGTGGTGGTGGTGGGTGTATTGGGGGCTTGGGTGGAGGGTCATGGGAGGCTTGTTGACCCCCCTGCTCGCAGTACTATGTGGAGGCTGGGCTTTAATACTCCAGTACATTATAATGATCATCAACTCTTCTGTGGCGGCTACTCGGTAAGTGCTTCCCCATGTCTGTCTGCCTGTTTGTCTCTGCCTGTCTGTCTCTTTTCATGTCTGTCTCTCTGTTTATCTTTCTCTTTTTTTTCTCTCTCTTTCTAAATGACACAATTTCAGTATCATTAACATAACGCTACATTATCCTTCCAACGCGAAAAAGGTTCCGAATTTAGTAAAAAAAAGTGTACATGGACACAGTTTACATGTACAAAGTGCACATGTACAAAGTGACATTTACATGCACATGGAGAAAGTGACGTGTACACTTACCTGGACACAGTAACGTATTCATATATGTGAAAAGAGTGATGTGTACATGCAGGTGTACACACAGTTATGTGTGTACACACGCACGTGTACACACAGTGACGCGTGCATTTCACAGCACCATGACTCAAGAAGGACTCCAAGACATTGGCAATTTGCATAACATAACCTGACATAGCATAACACGACATAACATGATCACAAAAATTCCTCACCATTCCACTTATAATAACAAGCGAGACCTCAAAACATATATCTTTTTACGAGATAGACTTTTTTTTGTATTGCTCTGCCGACCCTTTCAAGAGGAGCGGCTTGAAGCCGGTGAAGCGGCTGACTGCCGGTAAAGCCTGACTGCCTCCCTAAGATCACGGTTATACTGGTGTTAACAGCTGTTTAAAGTGTTTGTAATGTGTGAAGTGGAAGCCGTGTGCATACACAGTGTTAAGAGTAGGTGCGATTAGTGATTTGGCGATACCAAATTTGTCTTGGCGGATACCGATATTCAGTTTTAAACAGATACCGATACTGTCAAAATTAGCCGATACCAGTCCTGCTCATGGACTGGGCCGCGGGGACACTGACCACCGGAACACCGTCCAGGTATACTCCGGGTATACCACCGGGGCTTTGACACACTGCAGAGTACGATAAGAGAGGTTTGGCTGAGAGACGAGAACAAGGGGCTAAGATTTGGCCCCAGGCAAGTACAGGCGTGATAGAACTAATGTAACTCATGTCAATGGGAGGTAACAACGATTTAAACAGGAGAGAAGTCAACGGGAGATATCAGCGGAGAAAACTGAAGGAAGAGATATAAAACAAGGTGGAAAGTACCAAGGGTTGGGACCGACAGTTAGATGTTTGAGGAGACTAACGGCAGGCGGACAGCCAACCCTCACTGCTGGGGAACCGTTGGAGAGGACTTGAGACCGGTGGAGAGAGGGTGGAGAACGTGGTGGAGACAAAAAAAGAGTAACTACAACAACAAATGATTAGACAATATGACAAAATAATAATAATATTAATAATAATAATAAATGATAATAATTAATATAATAATAATAATAATAATAATAATAATAATAATAATAATAATAATAATAATAATAATAATAATAATAATAATAATAATAATAATGTAATTCTCCTGGCTAGATACATTCCATGTTACCTTCAGAGATGACGTAACTGTCACCTTGACGATACGTTCCTACAATACACCTGTTATCCGAGGAGTCGGATTGGACTACTAGGGGGGGGGGGGCACTACCACGATAATCCAACCAGTCGGATCCAACCCCTCGTGCCAGACCGCATCAGACACCTTTTAAAGGATTATAAATGCGTAAATACGCTTTGCGCTCGGGACATTACGCTTATCAAAGCGCACCGTGAAATTATGGTAATCCTGAATGCTGGTACGAACATGCAAATCGGACGAGCCGATTTATGTGCTTATTTTGTATTGCAAAATGGATTTGTCTTCCAGGGAATTGTCATCTGTATTGTCGTGTGTTAATGTGTGCAGCTGATTTAGAATCCCCTTGAATTAGTTAGGTTTCTAATTATCTCTAATTGGATCTTAATCATCTGTTCTGAGTTAGATGGGGATAATTGTTCCATTTAGTGGATGATGACTTAAGCGGGTAATATTGTTTTGTTCCAGTAAAAATAGATTGTTATACTGGTGTGTGTGTGTGTGTGTGTGTGTGTGTGTGTGTGTGTGTGTGTGTGTGTGTGTGTGTGTGTGCGTGTGTGTGTGTGTGTGTGTGTGTGTGTGTGTGTGTTGTGTGTGTGTGTGTGTGTGTGTGTGTGTGTGTGAGTGTGTGTGTGCGTGTGTGTGTGTGTGTGTGTGTGTGTGTGTGTGTGTGTGTGTGTGTGTGTGTGTGTGTGTGTGTGTGTGTGTGTGTGTGTGTGTGTGTGTGTGCGTGTGTGTGTGCGTGTGTTGTGTGTGTGTGTGTGTGTGTGTGTGTGTGTGGTGTACTCACCTAGTTGTACTCACCTAGTTGAGGTTGCGGGGGTCGAGTCCGAGCTCCTGGCCCGCCTCTTCACTGATCGCTACTAGGTCACTCTCCTGAGCCGTGAGCTTTATCGTACCTCTGCTTAAAGCTATGTATGGATCCTGCCTCCACTACATCGCTTCCCAAACTATTCCACTTACTGACTACTCTGTGGCTGAAGAAATACTTCCTAACATCCCTGTGATTCATCTGTGTCTTTAGCTTCCAACTGTGTCCCCTTGTTACTGTGTCCAATCTCTGGAACATCCTGTTTTTGTCCACCTTGTCAATTCCTCTCAGTATTTTGTATGTCGTTATCATGTCCCCCTATCTCTCCTGTCCTCCAGTGTCGTCAGGTTGATTTCCCTTAACCTCTCCTCGTAGGACATACCTCTTAGCTCTTGGGACTAGTCTTGTTGCAAACCTTTGCACTTTCTCTAGTTTCTTTACGTGCTTGGCTAGGTGTGGGTTCCAAACTGGTGCCGCATACTCCAATATGGGCCTAACGTATACGGTGTACAGGGTCCTGAACGATTGTGTGTGTGTGTGTGTGTGTGTGTGTGTGTGTGTGTGTGTGTGTGTGTGTGTGTGTGTGCAATTGCTCCCTCTCTCACACACACAGCGAGTCAAATATTGCCTCAAAGGTCATAAGATTTGCGTGGCAACTTTAATACTGAACCGTCATGAGAAATAATGTCTTCCACATATTCGGTCATTCACTCTCACTATCTTCAGTGTGAGAGACCCACAGTGTACACTGTCTCTCTCCGGCACTCTTGTTATGAGAGTCACTTCAGGCAATTAGTCAGGTATCTCAATGTGCACTGATCTCTATAAATGTATATATTTGCTCTCTCTCTCTCTCTCTCTCTCTCTCTCTCTCTCTCTCTCTCTCTCTCTCTCTCTCTCTCCATATAGGTGACGATGATGGTGTGAATGCCACAGGTTACGACACGGATCAAGGAGGAGAGTGATCCGTGTAGCGTGTGATTGACAAGGTTGCTGAGTGCTGGAAACTCTTTGTGTCATGTTGACATGCCATCACCAGAGGTCAACACGAAAGAGATAGATAGATAGACAGATAGATAGATAGCCAAGATAACAGGGAAGTGACATAAGTGTCCATCCTATGAAAAGAGTGATGGTGTTTTGCAGGGGAGTACCTCCGCAGAAAGAGAAAAAAAATAATCTTGAACTGCATAAGGATGACCTTTTAAAAACTAGAGTTAAAACACAGCCTCTGTCCTGGCTGTGTCAAGCTGATGAAGCAGAAGGCTCTCCTCCCACTCCTCTCTGCTCACACTGTTGTTGTAATCAAGATCCACGAAGAAACAGATGTTGAACTGCAGCTCTTGCGTCCCCGTTTTCACTGTTAACCGAGCGTGATTTACAAAGAGAACAAAACTGCACCATACCGTGACTGGAACAATACACAAATAATCCGCACAGAGGAGAGAGGAGCTTACCACGACGTTTCGGTCCGACTTGCACCATTTACAAAGTCACGCTTATTTACAAGTCGTTTTCACTTTCAAAGCTTTGAATGGATGTAAATTCTTCAGTGTCATACTGTACTTGGTTCCACTTCATCACTGTTCAATACCACGCATGTATTTCCTGTGTATTATATAATTTATAAGATAGTTTACCTTCCATTAGTGTCCCCGTCTGTACTGCTTCTTCACCTGGCAAACAGTCTGTCCTTGTGCACCCTATGTGTGGCCCTGAATACCTTTTATGTTGTGATCATATCTTCTCAGTGTTTTCCAGTCTTGTAGAGTCGTGTATATATGTTTGTAGTACAATATAACACGTTTTTAATTCCACACTCGACGATAACAAAAACTACCACAACTGCTACTTTTACTATAACTGTTACTGCTACTACTGATACTACGACAACTACTACTACTTCTACTACTACTACAACTATTACTGCTATTGCTGTTACTACTACTACTACTACAACTATTACTGCTACTGCTGTTACTACTACTACTACAACTATTACTGCTACTGCTGTTACTACTACTACTACAACTATTACTGCTACTGCTGTTACTACTACTACTACAACCATTACTGCTACTGCTGTTACTACTACTACTTCAACTATTACTGCTACTGCTGTTACTACTACTACACTACAACCATTACTGCTACTGCTGTTACTACTACTACTACAACTATTACTGCTACTGCTGTTACTACTACTACTTCAACTATTACTGCTACTGCTGTTACTACTACTACTACTACTACAACTATTACTGCTACTGCTGTTACTACTACTACTTCAACTATTACTGCTACTGCTGTTACTACTACTACTTCAACTATTACTGCTACTGCTGTTACTACTACTACTACAACTATTACTGCTACTGCTGTTACTACTACTACTACAACTATTACTGCTACTGCTGTTACTACTACTACTTCAACTATTACTGCTACTGCTGTTACTACTACTACTACAACCATTACTGCTACTGCTGTTACTACTACTACTACAACTATTACTGCTACTGCTGTTACTACTACTACTACAACTATTGCTACATCTATTACTGCTTCTACTTTAACTACTACTACTAATACAACTACTATTATTACTAACTACTACAACAACAACTACTACTACTATTACTATTGCTGCTATTTTCACTTCTCCAACCATTCCTTATCTGTTCAACACCTTAATAACCCGAATGTGTAACACATTAT